CCCCCTATCGACGTCAGCGCTCGCGTGTGGGTATCTCGCGCCGCGGCACGCCCCCGGGGGGCCCCTGGGGGCTCGAGGCGGGCCTCCAGAGGCGGAGGGGCGGAGAGGCCTCCTCCTCCTCCTCCTCCTCCTCATGCTCCTCCTCCTCCTCGTCCTCCTCGTCGTCCTCCTCGTCGTCGTCCTCCTCCTCCTCCTCCTCGTCCTCCTCCTCCTCCTCGTCCTCCTCCTCCTCCTCCTCCTCCTCCTCCTCCCGGAAGCCTCGTGAACCTTACTGAAGGCCTCTCGGTGGCTTCTTGGGGCGAAGGCTCGATGTGGCGATTTGTGTGTTCCCTCTGCGGCCTCTGGGCCCCTTTGGCGATCGTCCGGTGTGGAGCGGCAGGACAGGCCCGTCTCTATGGAAGCTGGGATGTCGCTGCCAGTCTTGTCTTGGGGGGGGGGGCGTGTGGCGGCCACTGGCGGCGCACAGGGGGTGACTGGTGGACGTTTGGCGCGGGGCGCGTGCCGCTATTTGCCGCGGCTCCGCCGACATCTTGATCAGATGGGTTTCCCTGGAAACGAACGCAAGGCAGGATGAGGATGATGATGAGGAGGAGGAGAAGGAGGAGGAGGAGGAGGGAGGAGGACGAGAAAGTGAGGGGGAGGAGGGAGGGAGAGTTCTCTACTCCTCCCCCCCCGGTCGTCGAGTTCCTCCGGCCGAGCTCGCCCCAGGACTTCCACGCGAACCAGCTGGAGGAAGACCTGGGCGGCGCCCGACCACTGGAGGAGGCGCGGCGCCGCTTATCGCGGACGGGGGACAGGGAGGGAGGGAGGGAGGAGGAGGAGGATGAGGAGGATGAGATCTTTGTCGACTCCGACGTGCGAAACGAGGATCGAAGGGTGCCAAGTCTTTGTCTAAGATCTCGCTGACTAGCAAGATGGACACGCAATTCCCAATGATGTTGGAGGTTCAAGGGTCGTCCACCGCTATCCGGAAGGCGTGGCTCGAGGAAGCCCGGAGGTTCGGAGAAGACCGATTTGGAGATGATTAGAATGAACCGCCAGCCCAACAACACAGGTTACACGCGCTGGGGGCACAGCGGGCGAGTCTGATTGTGGTCGGAATTCGGGAACAAAAGATGACTCTATTTGACGTTCTGCAGGGGATGTCCAAATTGAAGCTGAAGAGCGCGCCAGGCATGGATGGGGCCACACCAGAGCTTTTCAAGGCGCTCCCATATCTCGTGGCCGTCAGGGTCTGGCAGCTTTTCGCGCAGCGTCAATTTGGGATTTCACAAGACGACCCGCCGAGCTGGAAATCGATACTCTTCGTGGGGATCCCCTAACCCAAGAATGCCACCATGCTCCCACTCTTCAGGTGGATTGGTCTTTTGGCTGTGTTGCTCAAGCGGTACCTTCAAATTTTACGGCCCGCACTGTGGGACCAGATGCGGCCATCGGTAGTGCAGATCTTCGGCTTCAAACCAGGGCTGTGCACGGAAAACCTTACGTTCGTCTTGAAAGAGGTTTGGTGTTCTCTACCACTTGGAGCAAGAAGTTGTACATCGCATCACAAGACGTAGCGTTTGCGCTCGACAGTGTGTCACATCAGCCGGTATGTGATGCGCTTCAGGAAACTTCCCAAAAGGCCTGGGGGACTTCCGAGCCTTCAGAGAAGGCCCCTCCCTTCTCGCTTCCCCCCCGGGTTCGCCGCCGAGGGACACCCACAAGACATGACTGCAGTGCTGACCACGGCCTTGCGTGCTATTCGCTGTGTCCAAGAAGCCTTCGTCGTCGCAGGTCTTGGCCGCGGGGGGGGCTGCCGCTGGAGAGCGGGTTTTTACGTGAGCACGATCGCCGCTGGCGGGGGTGCTGTGCCGTACTGCGGCGTCGAGCACACGGAAGCCTTGGCCAACTTTGAAGGCAAGGACACACAAATAAATACACACAAATGAAATAATTCCCAATATTTTCATATATTTTCTAGGTTTTTGTCTTCCCCCCACTTCCCATATTTTCCCATTTTTTGGAATTCGACGATTAATTGTGTCTGTGTGTTTCTTTCCCTCCTGAAACTTGCTCGACGGCACAGACAGCCGGTATCGGTCGACCAATCCCCATCCCCATGCCCATCCCTGTCGAGACCCCCATCGATTTGCCCCCCAGTTGGGGATGCACCCCTCGAAACCCGACGGGAACGGCCCATGTCCCCATCTTGGGGGGATGAATCTGCCAGTGGGTGGGGCCCAGGCCGCGCTGGAGGTGGGGGTCGGATTCACGGTTCTCACTGCTGGACGGCAAAGGCAGCGCCAAGACTATGGTGGACCATAGGCTACGCAAAGCAGAGCAGCTGGTCTGAGTGCACTCCAGGCAGTTTCTCGGGCCAGGAACTGCGTCCGCCCAAATCGAAGCATGATCGAAAAATGTTGCCGCAAGTGCTTTGCATGGCAGCGGCAGCTGGACAGCTTACAAACATTGCTTCAACGTTTTCGACTATGGGAAGTATGCTGGTTGTGTAAAATGTTCCGGATGAGTCGGAAACTGGGGGAGGGGAACATGGAGTTCAACCGCCGTATTGCGCAGTTGATCTATCCAAATGGTTTGGCGCGCTGGACGTGCGCGAGCTGCGCGAGAGAGCTTTGCAGGCGATCCATACCAACGCTTGGGGAGAAAGAGAGAGAGGGAGAGAGAGAGAGAGAGAGAGCAACCGCAACGCTGGATTGCCAGGCGCCGCCACCCTTTTGGGATAGATTCGCGCTGTTCGAGGGCGGATAGTTCGGGGCGCTATCAAGAGCGCCCCGCGCAGGAAACGCAAGCTACACGGATTTGTGCATGGTAGAGCAGGGGACATCATCGAATGGGGGGACGTCATGATCAAGGCGCGCGGGCATAATTGGCGCACTGACGCCAGGGGGGCGACCAGTTCGACCGCGGAGTGGGAGGCTCGGGCCAATGTGTTCGTCCGCATCATATGTGGGGATTGGGCGCTGCCGTCGCGGCGCGCTCCGCGAACGAGCCCTGCCAGGTCGCGGTCGTTGCCGGCAGAGCGCCCGGGCCGCCCCGAACGACCCGGGTCGTGGCGAGAGGTTGCGGAGATGACCTGGCCTGAGGTCGTCCGGCCATCTCCGCCTGATGCATCTTCGTTATTCTGGGTTCATCGATGATTCTGCCTCGCGTTGTCCGATTCCGATTCCTTGCTATTCTGGGTTCGCTGCTGCCGTGGACTGTTCTTTCGCTTGGGATATCCTTTCAATTCTGGGTTTGTGTACTTGTGCCCTGAACTCGCGTGGTTCTGGGGCCTTTTCGCTTGAGACATCGTCGGAATTGTGGGTTCGGGCATGCCCTGACCTGAGGTGGTTCAACCAATTTCGCGCGAGATCTTCCCTGTCTGGGCTCAGAGGTGTCCTGTTAACGCTGCCGCCGATGCCACAGTCGACAATTTGGGCAATGTGTCATATGAACACTCGGGGAAACTGGAACCCTCCATGTTGCCAGTGGTAAATCTGCCAATCGGGGCCATTTATCAAACGGGCGAAGGTAGCTGGGCATTTCATTGCGAGTTACCCGTCCTCTGCCGAAAAGGGGTTTGGAAGGACGTGATTTCATGCGCCAGTCATCCAAAGAAGTCGGATTTTCCTTGCCTTCGTTGCTGTGTGGCGCTTCGTCGGGGGGGAGGCCCGACGTTGCCCCGTCAGTCAGACTACTGCTGCTGCACTGGGCTTCGCCCTTGCCCTAAAACAAGTTGTGAAGTCACTTCGCCTTCAAAGCCGGCGGGTTCGGAAGGCATGTGGCGTCGTGTCGAATGTGCGGGGCGGGCCGACGATGCGCCAGTATCAAGCTTGGCCAGGCCTTCCATGGGCTGTCGCTAGTTGTCCTTGAGAGGCCTGGCCAAGGTAATTCGGGGCCTCGTTCCTGGCCGACCTGACTCTTGGATTCTCGTGTCGCTCCGATCTGGCGTGCGCCATTGAGACGCATGTCGTTCCGATATGAGGGTTCGAAATGGTGAGCCTCTCGCTCTCGGCGAAAACCAACGCAAGTAAAACGAGGACGGTGCCGCTGGTGGAAGCTCGGCGGGAGACTCCATGAAAGGTCAACGCTTGCTTCCGCCTGACTGTCCGCCTGTTTCCCCTGTCGTCCGCCTGTTTCCCCTGTCGTTTCCATGGGCCGGGCTGTGGACAAACCCTGTGTCGAGCTCGGCCGTCCAATTCACTGAACGGTTCGGCTCGTTCCCTAGTATATACATATATTGTTGGCCTTCGCTGAGCGTGTGTGGTGGAGCGGGGGTGGATGGCAGTGGGCGGGTAGTGGTGTGTGAGTGTGTGTGTGTGTGTGTGCTCTGTTCTTGGTTTGGCAGCTTGTACAGTTCTTTCATTTCTTCTTGCGCTTCATTGTCTAACGCCCTTTTTGGTGATTTAGTGGCCGCCACTTCGCACAAGACTTCTCGCGCTTCAGTTTACCTCGAGTTGAGTTGTTTCCTTGGTTTTCTGGCGGCTGCACGTTTCGCTTGGATTGGCATATCCTCCTTCGCCCATCGCTGCAATTGACAGTGTGTACGGTTTGTACACTGTGCTTTCGACAACGCTCGATTGCAACTGGCTCTTCCTTCTGCCGTCCGCCCCTGGGGATCCTTTGCGCCGCCGGCTTCAAAATGTGTGCTACCTTTCCATGCAGTTTCGTGTACGTCGAGGGGCGTCAAGAGCCAGAGCGACTTTCACCGTGTTTGACCCGAGTGTTGGACACATGAGGCTAGCGCTATAAGCTCCTCCGCCTGAATTGTTTCGTGCCGAACTGATGGAGAGGATCGGCTCTGCGTCGACGCGGGCTCTGGAGGATCATTCAGCTTGTATCTTCCCGGCGCATGCCGGTGCAACAGGCAACCATACATAACTTGTTGTGAGGCGAGCTCCAGGCCATCGGTCGGTCGATGACTAAGTCGAATTGCCAAGACTTCCGATTCAGACTCCGATTCCGCCCCTCTTCCTTCTTTCTCCTCCTCCTTTGCCGTCCCTCCTCACCCTCGGTCTCCTCCTCCTCCTCCTTCTCTTCCTCCTCCTCCTCGTCCTCCTCCCCCCTCCTCCCCCTCTTTTTTCTCCTTTCTACCTATTTTTGCCCTTCCGCCCGTTGTCCGTTTCATCATATTCCTCCTGTGGGGTCCCTCCGCCCCTCCTCCTCGTCTGCCCCCCTTCTCCCCTCCTCCGCCGTCCGTCTTCCGCCTTCTCTTCCTCCTTCCCACCTCCTCCCTGCCTCCGGAAACGAGGTACAACATCCAGGTCGATTCAAGGAGCGCCCTTGTGTTCTTCGTCCTGGTTTGATGTTATTGTGCATCCTGGGGGAGGGTGCCCTCGATTTTGTTTGTGTGTGTGTGTGTAGAAAACCAGTGTGGGCAGGCGGAAGGCCTCATGCTCTTGAGTGATGTTTTTATGTCTTAGGTCCGGCCGTATTCTCCTCCCTCTCCAACACCGTCTGGAAGATAATCAACCCTGATTGCACATTACATAATAAGCAATACATTTTTTTGTTTTTCTTCTGAGTGCTTTTGAATAGCAAAAACAACAGGGATTCAACTTTCTCTTATTTTGGACTTTGGGGTCTGGGCCCCATAAAGACTCCCCAGGAGGGAGGATTGAGGCCTGGAGGGCTGGGCCCAGGACCTGAGGACCCGCCCACTCCGTGCCCAGCGGCACGGTGGCGGATGTTTTTTTTTTGTTGCAGTCCGATTGCCTTCGGCGTTTCAAGTGGTGCTCCCGCTCCAGCACGGGCCTCATTTTCGGATCGGCGCTGTGCTCCCGTCGCTGAACACTGCGTCCTCGCCCCAGCGCCGGCGATTTTTTTTTGGGTCCGAGTCCTTCGTCGCCCCCATCCCTTTCCCTCCTCGGGCTTCCCCTGGTCCTCCTTCTTCTCCCGCTCCTTTCACTCCAGCTCCTGCAGCTGCTGTTTGTCCTCGTCCTCCTCCTTCCTCCTCCTCCTCCTCCTTTTCCTCCTGCTCATCCTCCCGCTCATCTGCCACAGCCTCCTTCAAAGTACGCAGCTCACCTTTTTCCCCGATCGCGCAGAAGAACACGATCTCGATAGAAAGGGGGTCCTCTCTGGAGTTCCAGGTCCGCCACGACGCGCGCTGGCGGTCAGAGAAAGAACAGCGCAACTGGAATTTGGACGCCCGAAGTGGGTACTGAAAAAATGGGTACAATGCCCATTAACGCATGTTGTCCAAAAACCGACAGCGGCCGCTGTTGGGCAGGCGGCTTGCTGTCTACAGTGAACAACGTCCGCGGCGGCGCGGACAGCGAGCCCTGTCCAGAACGAACGGGAACTGCTGTTGGGCATCGTACCCCACCCCTCCGTGCCCCTTTCGATCGTCCCGACGGGAAGGGATGGGTGGGAGGCGTAGGATGTCAGATCTGGCCCGAGCGCACCCAGCTGACCTTAAGTCGGGTTTGTCCCTCTACAGGGGGGGTATCCCAAAATAGTCAAAAAATAGTCTAGGGACGATTTTTTGATTATTTTTTTGAGTATCTTGCATTTTTCGCCCAAAATCCCCATGTAGGGGGGCAGGCCCGACCTAAAGCTAGCCCCTCCCCCACGGCCCATATGGCATCTGGGGAAGCTTGGCGGCGACGCCGGGACGAGTTCCTGAACTGGGCGTCGGAGGCCAACTTCGACTTCGTAGTCCTGCCCCGCGCGGGCCACCCTGACAGCACTTTATCCCGATCCTTATCCTTAACCTTCTCCTTATCCTTCTCCTTCTCCTTCTCCTTCTCCTGATCCCTATCCTTATCCTTCTCCTTCTCTTTCTCCTTATCCTTATCCTTACTCTTATCCTTATCCTTATCCTTCTCCTTCTCCTTCTCCTTCTCCTTGTCCTTGTCCTTGTCCTTGTCCGTGTCCTAGTCCTAGTCCTAGTCCTTGTCCTTGTCCTTCTGCTTCTCCTTCTCCTTCTCCTTCTCCTTCTCCTTCTCCTGATTCTTCTCCTTCTCCTTCGCCTTCTCCTTCTCCTTCTCCTTCTCCTTGTCCTTGTCCTTCTCCTTCTCCTTCTCCTTCTCCTTCTCCTTCTCCTTCTCCTTCGCCTTCTCCTTCTCCTTCTCCTTCTCCTTCTCCCTCTCCCTCTCCTTCTCCCTCGGCCCCTCGCCCCGGGTGCCGCGCGCGGAGCGCGCCGCAGCGAGCACAACGCCCGCGCGCCTCCCCGCTGGAGGTGCTCTTCCCGTTCCCGCTGCAGGCGGCGGGCCCCGCGCCCCCCCCCCCCGCCGCGCGCTCGCGGCCTCGCTCGGCCCCGTGGCCAGTGCAGGCTGCGGGGGGTCGCCCCTCCTCCGCTCCTCCTCCTGCTCCTCCTCCTCACCCTCCTCCTCCTCCCCCTCCCCCTCCTCCCCCTCCTCCTCCTCCTCCTCCTCCTCCTCCTCCTCCTCCTCCTCCTCCTCCTCCTCCTCCTCCTCCTCCGTGTCCAGTCCAGGCTGCGGGGGGCTCGACGAGCGCGTTCCACTACTCGCACAGTAACTGCTCGCAAATGGCCTGGATCCCTCGCGTGGGGGATCTATGACACCCCTCTATCGAAGCAGAGACAGGTGTTTTTTTCGGACGTTTGCGGTTGGGTACTTTGCGAGTGGTGGAACGCGCTCGGCGGTTCTCCCTTCCTCCTCCCACCACCCCACCCCCTTGCTCCTTCTGCCTCCTCCCCCTTCTGCCTCTCCCCGCCTTCCCCTCCTACCTCCCTCCCTCCTCCTCCTCCTACCTCCCTCCTCCTCCTCCTCCTCCTCGTCTTCCATCTTCTTTCCTCCTCTTTCCTCTTCCTCCCCTCCAACTTCTCCTCCGTTCTCGCCGCTCGGGAGCTGCAGTCTGCATCGTCGTCGTCGTCGTCGTCGTCGTCGTCGTCGTCGTCGTCGTCGTCGTCGTCGTTGTCGTTGTCGTTGTCGTTGTCGTTGTCGTTGTCGTTGTGGTTGTTGTTGTTGTTGTTGTTGTTGTTGTTGTTGTTGCTGTTGTTGTTGTTGTTGTTGTTGTTGTTGTTGTTGTTGTTGTTGTTGTTGTTGTTGTTGTTGTTGTTGTTGTCGTTGTTGTTGTTGTCGTTGTTGTTGTTGTTGTTGTTGCTGTTGCTGTACTTGTTGTTGTTGTTGTTGTTGTTGTTGTTGTTGTTGTTATTGTTGTTGCTGTTGTTATTGTTGTTGCTGTTGCTGTACTTGTTGTCGTCGTCGTTTTCATCGTGGTCTTCGTCGTTGTCGTCGTTGCCGTCGTGGTCGTCGTGGTCGTCGTGGTCGTCGTGGTCGTCGTGGTCGTCGTGGTCGTCGTGGTCGTGGTCGTGGTCGTGGTCGTGGTCGTGGGCGTCGTCGTCGTCGTGGTCGTCGTCGTTGTCGTCGTTGTGGTCGTCGTGGTGTGGTGGCCATCGTCGTCGTCGTCGTCGGCGTCGTCGGCGTCGTCGTCGTCGTCGCACCAGAATCCGTTCAAAACTGTCTTAAAGAGCCGTCCTGGGATACATCCTGGGTGCGGGCCGTGACGACGAGAAACGCCCCAAAGCCTCGCCGTCGAAGTCGAGCGGTCTTGGGGCCGTGGGCTCGAACACAATTTGCAATTGGGCCTTTGGCGGTCCGGGGAGGTTGGGCACCTGCTGGGAGGTAGGAGGGAGGGCCTTCCATCCTCGTAGCTATTGCTACGACGCCTCAAGCGAGAACCCCATTTTGAGCAGGAGCCGCTATCAGTCCGTGTAAATGTTGCACATCTGACGTTGTGGCCATTGTTGACTTGGAGGTCTCAAGCGAGAGCCCCGTTTTCAAGAGGAGCCGCCCTTCATCCGGTGAGATGTTGCCATAGTTTGAGAAGAGTTTGCGCGGCGCCACGGCCAGAACCGCACGTGAAAGCGACCCACCCTCCATCCTCGGAATTGTTTGACGTTTTCAGGACGGATGTGCGCCGTGCAAAGGGGCGAGGCCGACATTAAACAAACAGCGACACGCCATCCATCCGTGAGGCTGTCGGACCTGCTGGCGGCGAGTATGCGCAGCGCTAAGGCGCGAGCCGCACGCGGGAAGTGGGCAGCGTTCCGCCTGTTTCACTGCTGGGTGTCGCAGGCTTCAACATCGCAGTGGTTGGGGAGCGTCGGGCGAAACGGCTGGCCCGCCTTAGCGACACGTCTGGTGGTGCCTCGGGGAGGGACTGTTGTCTGTTCATCAGGAAGAGGGCTGGACGATGAGGGGGAGGGATGAGGGGGAGGGATGAGAGGGGATGTGCGCCAGGTGGTCACCCATCGTAAAGTGAGATGGGTTTCAGGGCCACGGTTGCAAGGTGAAGGGGGGAGGAGGAGCAGACAGTTTTTTGCGTGCGTGCGTGCGTGCGTGCGTGCGTGCGTGTGTGTGTGTGTGTGTGTGTGTGTGTGTGTTTGTGTTTGTGTTTGTGTTTGTGTTTGTGTTTGTGTTTGCGTTTGTGTGTGTTTTTTTTTTTGTGTGTGTGTGTGTGTGTCCGTGTGTTTGTGTGTCTATGTTTGAATCTAAAGGGAAGCTTTTTGATATTTTTCTGTTGCATCTGGAGGCCTCTGGAGACATCGGGGGACGTGGCGGAATAGTGATGATGGCTGTGGTGGATGGTGGTGGTGATGTTGTTGATGGTGGTGGTTGTGATGTTGTTGATGGTGATGCTGATGGTGATCATGATGACGATGAGGAGGATGAGGCGCAGGAGGGGGAGGAAGAGGAGTAGGCGGAGGAGGAGGACCCGGGTGAACCCAAGATTCATCAACGATGCGGCAATACACCCTCCAGTCCCAAGTCCCCTCAGTAGTAGTCCCTGAAAGCTTTCTTTTCCACGGCAGGAAATTCCCCCCTTGAAATATCAGTACCCCGATGGGCCTGCCTGCCGTTTAGGCGAGAGCCCCGTCTCGAAAAGAATCTGCCTTACACCCCTCTGATGCGTCATCCGGAGGGCGACAGTTCAGCGAGGTGTCCAGCTGCGCTCCGACAGGAGGTCTCTCGGCAGAGCCTGGTTTTGAAAGCGAGCCGGCCCTCCAGCCGCAAACTTCCTATTGACGAGTGTGCGCGGCGCCGAGACGCGAGCCTCGCTTGGAGAAGCAGCCGCGCCCCCATCCTTTCTGGCCGTCGGAAGCTCTCACGGCGAACGTTTCTCTCGCGGCGCCCCGGCGAGGGCCGCTTGTCGAGAGGGAGCCGCCCCCGTCTTGGGAGGCCCCCCTCGTGAGCTTTGGAGGCGCCTGTGCTCCCTCCTCCCAGCTTCGGTGCGCTTCGAGGCCGAGTGTGCGCGGACCCCTGGAGACCTCCAGGGACCCCTGGAGACCGCCGCCGCCGCCGCCGCCGCCGTCGCCGCCGTCGCCGCCGTCGTCGTCGTCGTCGCCGCCGCCGTCGTCATCGTCGTCGTCGCCGTCGCCGCCGTCGTCGCCGTCGTCGTCGTCGTTGCCGCGTCGCCCGCGGCGGCCAGGGCGGGCCCTTCGAGCCCGGCGCGGACGGCGGCGGCGCGACGGAGTCCGTGAAGGGAGGCGCGCGTGGGCCGGCCCCGAGGGGCCTGCGGCGGCGGCCGCGGGCGTGGGGGGCGGGACGGAGCGCCGCGTCGGATGAGGGCGGGGGGCACCACCCACCCAGCCACCACAGCCCAACCCGAAGGCCTCAGTTGGCCCTCCACTTCCAGGGGGGGGGGTCGAGGAACATGGCAGAAGCACGTGTGGAAGCCGTACCCCCCCCCCAACCCAGAATTCGGATCTTCTGGTTGGGTAGGGGTGCTCTGGTAGGTAGTCAGGGGTGGGGAGGGAGGGAGGGAGGTCGACTAGACGTAAGTCGAAGGAGAAAGGACGCCATAGACACGCTTTTGGCGCTCCGCGCGGATTCCTCGGATCGGCGCCTGGGGCCCCCCCGGAGGCTCCGCCGGAGGGGTCCCCAGGCGCCACCCTGTGGCGTTGGGTTTTCGTTTTGAAGAGAGAGCGCCCCGCGTCGCCCACTCACTCCTCCTCGCCCTCCCCCCTCCGCCGCCCGCATGCGTCACCCACGCCCATTTCGGCGCGCCCCTCACGCGTTTCGTGGCTCCATAGGGAGCTCTACCGAAGGTCCCAGTGCCACCGCCCGCATGCGGCACCCGCGCGCATTTCGGCACACCCCTCACACGTTTCGTGGCCCCATACAGAACTCAGCCGAAGGCCTCAGTGCCGCCGCCCGCGTGCGTCGCCCGCGCCCATGTCGGCACTCCTCTCACACGTTTCGCGGCCCCAGAGGGAGCTCCACCGAAGGCCCCAGTGCCACCGCCCGCGTGCGTCGCCTACGCCCATTTCGGTGCGCCCCTAACGCGTTTCGTGGCTCCATTGGGAGCTCCACCCCGCATCTATTTCGGCCCTCTCCCCCCCCTGTACAGAGCTCAGTGCCACCGCCCGCATGCGTCACCCGCGCGCGTTTCGGCACACCCCTCACACGTTTCGTGGCCTCATGTGGAGTTCCACCGAAGGCCCCAGTGCCACCGCCCGCGTGCGTCGCCCACACTCATTTCGGCAAACCTCTCACACGCTTCGTGGCCCCACAGGGAGCTCCACCGAAGGCCCCAATGCCACCGCCCGCATGCGTCACCCACACCCATTTCGGCACACCCCTCACGGGTTTCGTGGCCCCATACAGAGTTCTACCGAAGGCCCCAGTGCCACCGCCCGCGTGCGTCACCCACATCCATGTCGGCACATCCCTCACACGTTTTGTGGCCCCGTACAGAGCTCCACCGAAGGGCCCATTTCGGCACGCCCCTCACACGTTTCGTGGCCTCATGTGGAGCTCCACCGAAAGCCTCAGTGCCACCGCCCGCATATGTCACCCACACTCATTTCGGCACACCATTCACACGTTTCGTGGCCCCATAGGGAGCGCCACTGAAGGCTCCCGTGCCACCGCCCGCATGCGTCACCCACACCCATTTCGGCACGCCCCTCACACTTTTTGTGGCCCCGTGCAGAGCTCCACCGAAGGCCCCATTTCGGCACGCCCCTCACACGTTTCGTGGCCTCATGTGGAGCTCCACCGAAAGCCTCGGTGCCACCGCCCGCATGCGTCACCCACACTCATTTCGGCACACCCCTCACACGTTTCGTGGCCCCATACAGAACTCAGCCGAAGGCCCCAGTGCCGCCGCCCGCGCCCATGTCGGCACTCCTCTCACACGTTTCGTGGCCCCAGAGGGAGCTCCACCGAAGGCCCCGGTGCCACCGCCCGCATGCGTCATCCACACTCATTTCGGCACACTATTCACACATTTCGTGGCCCCATACAGAGCCGCCCGAGAGCGTCACCCACACGCATTTTGGCACACCCCTCACACTTTTCGAGGCCCTGTAGGGAGTTCCACCGAAGGCCCCAGTGCCACCGCCCGCGTGCGTCGCCCACACCCTTTTCGGCACACCCCTCACACGTTTCGTGGCCACGTAGGGAGCTCCCACGAAGGCCCCGGTGCCATAGCCCGCGTGCGTCACCCACGCACCCATTTCGGCACACCCCTCATGCAGTTCGTGGCCCCAGAGGGAGCTCCACCGAAGGCGCCAGTGGCTGCGTTCGCATGCGCGGAGCGCACTAGGGGCGGCGCCGGAGGCGCCGCCAGGGGGGTCCAGCGCCTATCCGAGCAATCCGCGCGGACCTCCGAGTCTTCATGTTTCTGTACTTCTCTGTTCTCCTTAGGAGAATTCCCACCCCCACCAGGGAAGCCTTGGCCCCGCTGGGCAGTGTACCCCCCACTGGGTGGGATGGGCACCGTCTCCTCCGGGTTTCGGAGCACCCATCCCCACCTGCAGGGGGCAGGCTGGGAGAGCCAACTTGCCCTGCCCTGGTGGGGGTGGGGATGTTTCCGACGATGATCCTTACCATACTTCCGAAGAGCCCACAAGCTTACATTAGGATACTTTTTTGTGAACGATTGCCCACGCATTCCAATTCGTCGATCATTTGTGGGATGCTGACCGCACCCGTCTGCTATGTGACTCTGGTTTGGCCTGCGCTACAACCTAAGCGCGCGCGAAGCGCGCGCGCGCGTGGTGCCGCGGCTTCACCCACCTAGCTTGAAATGAGCTTGGAGAATACTCCGCATCGTTGGCTCGTTCGCTCGTCCGCTCCCTCCCTCCCTCTATCTCTCCTACCTCACTGTCTCCCTCTTTCCATCCCCCCTCCCTGCTCCTTCCGGGGCGTCCTCTGATGATCTCAAGCGGAGCCAACAGCAAAAACTCTGCCCCCCTCCCCCTCCTCCCTTCCCCCTCCTCCGCCTCCCCTTCCTCTTCCTCTCGCCCCCCCCCTCCCACCCAGCAGGAGGGAGGGAGGAGCAGGAAGGAAGGGCAGGAAGATGGCTTCCTGCGCCCCGCGTCGGCGCCCGGGGCAGGCTGCCGCCAGCTCTTCTCCTCGTCGTCGCCGCCGCCGCCGCCGCCGCCGCCGCCGCCATCGTCCTCGTCGTCGCCGTTCGGCGAGGCCACCGCGTGCTCACCGCGGACGGCGCCAGGGGCCGGCTGTGGGAGCGCCCCGCCCGGGCCGGTGCGCCCCCCGGCTCGGCATGGCCAGGGCGGAGCGCGGGTGCCCCCGAGGTGGGGGGGAGGGGGGGCAAGGCAGGCGGAGCGGGGAGGGAAGGAGGGCGGGGAGGGGGGGAGGGCGGAGCGGGGAGGGGTGGAGAAGGGCTGGAGGAGGGAGGAGGGAGGCGGGGAGGGAAGGGGGAGGGGGGGCAGGGGGAGGAGGGAGGAGAACCACGAGGATGGTGATGATGAGCATATGATGAGGACGGTTGGGAAAAGGAGGAGAATAAGCAGTGCGCCTTGTAATTTACCCCCCCTACTCCGCGACCGCCTTCGTCGTCGCCGTCGTCGCCGTTTTCGTTGCCGTCATCGCCGCCGCTGCCGTTGTCGTCGTCGTCGTCGTCGTCGTCGTCGTCGTCGTTGTCGTTGTCGTCGTCGTCGTCGTCGTCGTCGTCGTCGTCGTCGTCGTCGTCGTCGTTGTCGTCGTCGTGGTCGTGGTTGTAGTTGTGGTCGTAGTCGTGGTCGTGGTCGTGGTCGTGGTCGTGGTCGTGGTCGTGGTCGTGGCCGCCGCCGCCGCCGTTGTCGTCGTCGTCGGCCTTCAAAACGACCCCCAGACCTGCCCAGGAGCACGCTCCAGCCACGACTCTGCGGCGTCTCCGGCGCCGGTGATGTGAATGTATGGAATGTTGGAATGTGAGTGTGGAATGTCGGGATTGAGAAATGTGAGTCACCGAGCGAGTTCCACTGCTCGCATAGTGCCCACTCGCAAACGTCCGAAAAGCACCTGTCTGCTTCGATGCAACTTATCTTAGACCCCCCCGCGGCGGATCCAGGGCATCTGCGAGCAGTTGCCCTGCGAGTGGGGAGCGCACTCGCCTGGCGCCGTGCGAACGCCGAGAGGTGAGCGTGGGATGTGACGTGCGAGTGTGAATGCCGACGTGCGAACGCTGGAACGCGAATGTGTCGACATGCTGAAGTGTGAGCGTTGAAGTGCGAGTGGAAGCTTCGCGCGGCCCGCTCAGCCTCGACCGGAAGAGGTGCGCTCTCGTCCCTCGGATCAAGAGCGCTGAAAGGCGAGCGCCGACGTGTGACGCGTGGAGCGCGACGCGCGACGCCTCGGGGGCTGCCGCCGCCGCCGCCGCTGCGAGGGAGGCGCCGGCCCGTGGGCGCGCCAGGGGAGGCCGCGGGCGCCCCCCCGGGGGCGGAGCGCGAGGGCGGGTGGCCCCCGCCTCCAAGTCGGGCCCGTCCCTCTACGGGAGGCGTGTTCAAAATACAAAAAATTAGTCTGGGGACGATTTCTTTTTTTAGTTTTGTTGTTGTTGTTGTTTTTTCCCGTTTTTTTTGTTTTGTTTTGTTTTTTGTTGTTTTTGTTTTTGCAATTTGTTCGCCCAAAAGTCCCCCTGTAGTGGGACAGGCCCGACCTAACCCCACCTCCAGAACAGGCCCGGTTCCTCCGTGCAGCTCACCAGGCGCGCTCCACAGCGCTCAAGTTGCCTGCTCGCAGACGTCTGGACGTGACGGACCGACGTAGATCCACCGCGGACGTAGATCGACGTACATCGTTGCAGATCGACATAGATCGGCGTAAATGTCTGCCTCGACGTAACGGATCGTAGATCCCCCGCGGCGGATCCAGGCCGTTTGCGAGCAGCTACTCTGCGAGCAGTGGAACGCGCTTGTCCGGTCCGAGAAGTTTTTCATTTTTTTTTTTTATCGTTTTTTTTTTTTTTTTTTTTTTTTTTGTTTTTAGCCTTCTCCGAGAAGGCGCGCAGAAAAGCTCCCCGCGAGGCGCGGGGGCCTCTGAGAAGTCCCGCCGCCTCCAGAGAAGGCCTTCTCCCTCCCAGCTCTGCCCCCCCCCCCCTCGCTCGCCGCCGAGTGCCGCCGTCGCGCCCCGTGGCATGTGGCGGGCGCGGGGGCGTCTGGGGGGCGCGCCGGCGGTCGCGAGGGAGAGAGAGGGAGGGGAAAAACACACACACACAGACACAATCCATCGTCGACTCCCCAGAACATGTGGGAAAATGTGGGAAGTGGGGGGGAAGACAAGACCCCAGAAAATGTGGGCAACTATGGGACATCCTTTTAATTTGTGTGTATTTATTTGCGTGCCCTGGGGCCCCTTCAGAGAGAGGAGAGGGGCCGTGGGCCGCCTGGCCGCGGGCGCGTGCGCCGCGCCGCGGCGGGCGGGCGCGGCCGCCGCCCGCAGGACAAGGCGCGGTCGAGGGAGGACAACTTCGCGCTCGACTTCGCGCCGGAGGCCGGTCGGCTCTCCCGTCGGGGGGGGGAAAAGCTTCGCAGTCCTAGAGATTGACACCAACACCAAGATCGGCGGTGTGCCTCCACCGAGGGAAGACGATCCCGATCTCGGTGGTGGTGGTAACATTCTGGCTTCCAAGGTGACCGAAATACTACCGCCAACACCGAAATCTAAGATCATCATCTCCCTGTGGAGGCGAACCCCTGTGCTGGTGCTGGTGCCGATTTCCAGGCCTCCAGAAGCTGCCCCGGCTCCGGCATATGTCGACGAGCGCGTCCCGCGGCTCGCAGAGCAGCCGCTGCTCGCAGGTGGCCTGGATCCCCCGCGGGGGATCTGCGGTGGGCTGCATCAGAGCAGACAGGTGTTTTTCGGACGTGTGCGAGTAGGCACTTTGCGAGGGATTGCAGGGTTGCAAAAAAACCCTGGGCGAAGGATTGCAAAAAAACCCTTTGCGAGGGATTGCAGGATTGCGAGGGTTTTTTGCAATCCTGTTTTTTTTTGCAATCCTTCGTGGAACGCGCTCGGCGACCGTGGGCGTCTGCGAAGCGGCCCCTGGGCGTCTTGCGAAGCCGCCCCGCCCTCTGTTCGGGTTCCTTCCAGGGGTGCGCTTGCTCGATGGAGCCGGGCGCTCGGGACAGTACACCAAGCAGGCCAGCAGGCAGGCGATTTTCCATCCCTGGGTGCCCAACCTCACATCTGACGTCCTCATCCCAAGGGGCCGGCTGTCGATGGCCCAGATGTCCACGACAGGCCCGTCTCTGAGGTCGGCTGTCGTGGACTGAGGCCCAAGGGCCAGCCCTAGTCAGCTACAACGCTGTGACCTGCGCGTGCGAGAGGTGCGGCCAGTGGCAGCAGTCTGCTGTCACAGCGTGCGAGAGGTCGTCTCGAGATTCGGCAGGATTCCCAGGCTGTCTTCAGATCGGTCTTTTGCGTTTTCGCGTATCTTCTGAAGCACTGTGCGTGTAGGACCCTGCTGGGCAGCCATTGTGATCACGTGGATGGACATCCGCACTTTGAATTTGGCAGTGGCATTCCATCGCGCAGGAAGCCCCTTCGGATGCACTTGCATGGGTCCGCCCTGGCTGGCGACAGCGCTGGGGTAAGCACGTGTGAGAGTGGCGAGCAGTGAAACCAGGCCATGCTGCTGCTCAGCGAGATGTTGGCTGTGATGTTGGAGCCCAATGTCGGCAGCTGTTCAGCCAGCTGCGGGATGCGAAGTCGGAGCCCGAGGCTATCTAAATTACAGTCCCGGGCGAGGCGCGTGCCAGAAGTGAGCGCAGTGTGCGAGCTCTCCGGGCCCCGACGCTACCCAAGGACGCTCCAAGGACGCCCCCAAGCGGCTCGCAGGACGCTTCCAAGACAGCCGAATCGCCCCGCCCCCCGTCATCATCCCCTGTAGCCATTCCGGCTCAAGCAATCCATTTCGGCTCAAATCATTTGGGCTCATGCCACCATGGTGCCATTTTTCTTTTGATGCTAGGCACCGGTCGAGGGTCTCGAGATGGCGCTGTTTCTCTCGAAGTGTCCATCAAGACGTGTGGTCGGACAAAACAGTGGTGCGCAGCGCTGCAGTTGCTCCGCGAAGGGACTCAGTCAGGTGTGCAACTCTTCTCGTGCCACTACATTGCGACTGCCAGCGCATGCAGAAGAGGCGGACAATGGCAACACGCACTGTCGGTGCTCAGTGCGATGTGGGAGTCGAAGCTGAAGCCCGACGTCATCTGTACTACACTTCTGGTTGCTGCGCGTGCGACACAGGCGAGGTCCTGGCGCGCCTCGGGGCGATCCATGTCAGCTCCGACGGGTCCCCAGCTCGCCCCAGGACGGCTCCAGGCAGCCCACGGACAGCTGTGAGGCGCTCAGGAGGGCGCCGGGACGGCCCAAGAGGGCCCGAAGGGAACTTCATGTGGCGGCCCAAGCGTGCCCGAAGACCGGCCAGGGGGCTCCACAAGCTGCTCACGATGACCCCGATGACGGCCCGACGAGGCCAGCACCAAGGCATTTATTAACACACTTTTTGGATGCCGATCGTCTTCTTATCCATTGTTTTACCGATCGGCGCGAGCCCTCGCACCCCCACCCCCGCCCCTCTCCCCTGGAGTAGATCTTGGCTGTTTTTGGCGCCAGTTTCGAGCAGGTGGAGGCTTCCCCACAGGATGCAGCGTTGCAAGCAGTCGCACTGAGCAGAGGTCTGGAGCCAGACCCGCCCCCCCCTTCCCCCCCTCTTGTGCCAAATGCCGAGACGCCGAGTGAGAAAACGTTTACGTACTTTTCGACGTTTTCTTCGTCGAATAGTACCAAACGCCGAATACGAACACGGTTTCTCAGAATACCAAACGTCCAACCCCCTAAGAATACCAAACGCCGAATAAGAAAACGGTTTCTCAGATTCTCGACTTTTCGGTCCTTGGACGGGCCCCACACGTCTCCGGGTCCATCCCAGGTGGCCCCGAGACGGTTGCAGAGGATCCGAGGAGGCAAAGCTTCCGTTGGCCCCGCAGACAGCCCCACGAGGGCCGCAGGAGCTGCCCAAGATGGCCCAAAGCGGGCTCCAAGATGCCCCAAGACTCGCCCAACGGCCCAAGAGGCCCCCACGAGCTGTCCAAGAAGGACCGGTCCATGCCGATATACCCTAGAGCCTCCCAACAGACCCCGACAGTTGCCAAGGCGCTCCCAAGAGAGCCTCCAGACTCGGCACTTCTCGCCGTTTATGGATTCCCAGACGCCCCGAAGACAGCCCCAGACCACTCTCAGATGCTCTAGGGTCCCTCAAGAGATTCTGATAGGTGCCAAGGAGCTCCAAGTAGAGCCTCCAGCCCGGGCACATTTCGTCGTTTCTGGATCCCCAGTAACCTCAAAGTAAAACCGAACCCCAAACAAGGCCCCAGAAAGCCCTTCTCCTTGTTCTCCCCTCGTCTCTTCTCTTCCTCTTCCTTTTTCTCCTCCTCCTCCTCCTCCTCCTCCTCCTCCTCCTCCTCCTCCTCCTCCTCTCGGTGCCTCCACAGCCCCCTCTCTGGTGCCGCTCTCCTCCTCCTGCTCGCCTTCCTTCCAAGGGGCGTTCCAGCAGGCCCTGGGGGTTCCATAAATTCCCCCCAGGCAGCCTCAGAGGCCCCCGTGAGAGCCCCAAGACGGCCCAAGAGGGCCTCAGGGCGGTCCAAGAGGCACCCAAGACGGCCCAAGAGGGCTCCAAGAGATCCCCAAGAGTGGAAACTCGAACTGGCATCTTGCGCCCTCCGCTCCAGGATGATCCCAGAGACCGCCAGCAGGCCCCCAATTGGCCCCCCAGAAGCCCCAGGAGGCCCCGAACACGCCCAAATCAGGCCCCAAGAGCCTCCGAGAGGCCCCAAGACACCCCAAAAACCGGCTCGAAGAGGCCTCCGAGGGAAGACCCTTAGGGGCCTCCTGACCGCGCCGACCACCCAAGAGAACCCCCGTGAGCGAAGGAGACCAGATGTTCAGCCACATGCTCGCCGAGGTCACGGATACATGTGTGTGCTGGCTTCTGCTCGTCCCTCCTTGCTCGCTCCTTCCTCCTCGCTCCACGCGCATCGCTCCTCCCCGCTCTGTCCTCGCCCCTCGCCTCCCTCGCCTCGCTTCTGGCTTCTCTGTTCCCACTCCACCTCGCTCCTTCCACCTCTCGCCTGGCCCCTCGCTCCTCACTCCTGGCTGCAAAACTGGCGCCTGCCTCTCCTCTGCGGCTCTCCCTTACCCTTCCTCGCATCTCTCTTTCTCTTTTTCACATTTTTTGTTGTTGTTTGTTTTTTTTTGTTTTTTTTATATCTCTCTCTCTGTCTCCTCGGCCGTCGCTCCTCCCTTCTCGCTCCGTGCTCCTCGCTGATCGCTCCTTGCTCCCCCCACCTCCCCCTTCGAACCTGACTCATCGCTGCCTGCTTCTCACTCCTCGCTCCACTCACGAGCTGCAGGTTGCGTCAGCTGGCAAGGGTACCAAGAAGTTTCGCCTTGCAGCCTTACGCAGCAACAGCGAACAACAACAGTTCACAGCAGGCAACGGCGGCACAGCAACAGTAGGCAGCAGCAACAGCATGCCGCAGGCAGCAGCACCCTGCAGCTGCAGGCAGCAACGGCAAAGGTGAAGTTCGGGCTCAATGCCACCACAAGAGCCTTTCGGCAGCATCTCTGTCCTGGTCTAACGTGCCATCCTGGACTTGTTTCGTGGTCGGTAGGCCACAGGTCAGCCCTAGTCGGCTATAACGCTGGGATTAGCGCGTGCGGGAAGGGCGAACAGTGGCAGCAAGCTTTGGCGCTGTTCAGCGAGATATGGGAGGCGAAGCTGGAGGCCAGCGTCATCTGTACTACCATTTCGGCCGCGGCGCGTCCGAAAAGTGCGAGCGGAAAAAAAAACACCCAGGAGCGCCCCCTGGCGCCCTGAGCGCCCCTGGGACACTCGCCGACGGGCTCAGAGGGTCGCCAGATGGCCCCGAGACGGCCCCAGACAGCTCCAAGACAGTTCCGAGACGCCCTGGAGGGCGCCAGGACGGCCCAAGAGGACCCAAAACGGCGACTCACGACGGCCCCAGAAGAGATGGCCCGAGACCCGCAGCGACCGCGAGCAGGGCCTCAGGACGGCGCAAGAGGCCTCCAAGACGGCCCAAGAGGGCCGCACAATTTCAGGAGGGAAAGAAACACACAGACACAATTAATCGTCGACTCCCAGGAACATATGGGAAAATATGGGAAGTGGGGGGGAAGACAGAAACCTAGAAAGTATGGGAAAATATGGGAATCTTTTTATTTGTGTGTATCTATTTGTGTGTCCCAGGGCCCCTTCAAAATTGTTGAAGAGGGTCCGCATGGAGAGATCCCCAGGATGCCTCGAAGAGGATTCGAAGAGAGTTCAGACGACAGGCTTCCCGCAGCCCACAGCAGACCCCCAGGACGGCCAAGGAGGGCCGCAAAATGGCCGAAGAGGCCCCCCCAGAGGCTCCCAAGAGGTCCCCAATATGGCCCCCGAGGGCTGCAACATGACCGAAGAGGGCCCCCAGAGGTTAGGGAGAGACCCTCAGGAGATTTCGAAAAGGCTCCAAAGAGAGTCCGCACGAGGGGCTTCCCGCAGCCCCAAACGCGCCAAGAATCTTCTGAGGACCACTCCGAGATGTTCCAGAGTCTTCCAATAGACTCCGATACTTGCCAAGGAGCTCCAAGGATAGAGTCTCCAGCCTCTTCGCCGTATCTAGAACCCCAGAAGCCAAAGACAGCCCCAGCGCCTCCCAATAGACTCCGATAGTTCCGACGGAGCTCCCACGAGAGCATCCCGCCCCCTCCACCTTTCGCCGTTTGTGGGCCCCCCGGCAACCTTGCACAAAGCCCCTGACCCAAGAACACGGCCCGACGAAGCTCCTCTCCCCGTTCTCCTCTCTTCTCTTCCTCCTCCTCCTCCTCCTCCTCCTCCTCCTCCTCCTCCTCCTCCGCTTCTCCCTCCTCGACGCTCCGGCCGCGCTGGGGACCCGTTGCTGCTGCCGGGGCCCCCCTGGCCTTCTCTCCGCTCTTCCCGCTCCTCCCCCGGCCGCTCTGCTTCGGAGCTCCGGCCGCGGGGGCCCCCGCAGCCAGCTCGGGGCGACGGATAGGGGACACCGCAGACGCCTCGGCGCCGGCGACGCGTGCGCGTTCGGGACCGACGCCGTTACCTGCCAGCCGTGGATTCCCCACGGCTTCGCACGAGTCCGTACGGTAGGTTCGCGTGGTGTCGACCCGCGGCGACCCCGCCGCCAGCGTTCAAAGTTGAACGCCTCCAGCGACCCAGAATCGGTCGTTGTGGAACGATCTGACGTTTCGGAAACGGCCGATCGTTCAAGATTGAACGCTCCCCGCGGTGTCAGAGACCATCGCCAAAGTCGGTACGACACGGACCTGCCGTACTGCAGTTCCGGGCGAAGCGCGGGCGAGCATCAGGAGGGGGAGAGAACGCACAGGCACAAGTAATCGTCCGCTCCCAGGAAAGCGTGGGAAACTATGGGGAATGGGGGGGAAGACGAAAACCCAGAATAAATATGGGAAGATGTGGGGAATCCTTCTATCTTTGTGTGCATTTCTTTGTGTGTCCCGGCATTAGTCGGCGGCGAGCGAGGGGGGAAGTGAGAAGGAGAAGTCCTTCTCGGAAGGTTCGGAAGCCCCCCGGAGTTCTGAGAAGTTTCCTAAGCCTTCCCCGAAGACCAAGAACACTTCTCAGAAGGCGGGAGGGCTTCTGAGAAGTCCCGCCGCCCTCTGAGAAGGCCTCCTCCTCCTCCTCCTCATTTTCCCCCCTCGCTCGCCGCCGAAGTACACCTTGGGCGACGCTTAAGAAAACCTAAGTTTTCGGCCAGAGTCTCGATCATTCTTAATGTTTCAATGTAAATCCTAAGATTTGAATGGACATTCTGGGTTTTTATTTAATCGCTTCGCTCATTCCGCCGGCCCATACAGTCTCATGTCTGCCGTTTGCCCGAGGGCCTGGTGTCAATGCGGCGCTTTGGGGGTTCCTGGGGCCGCTTGGGGGACTCCTGGGGCGCTCGGGGGGGCATTTGGGGGGCCTCCTGGGGCCGCTTGGGGGACTCTTGGGGGCCTCCTGAGGGCCCCGTGGGGGCCTCTTGGGGCCTCTTAGGGGCCTCGTAGGGGCTTCTTAGGGCCGAGGGCTCGAAATGTTGTTTCGTGTTCCCTCTCTGGGGCCCCTTTGGGGGCGTTCTTGGGGCCCTCTTGGACCGTTTTGGAGGCTTCTTGGGCCGTCTTCGAGCCCTCTTGGGCCATCTTGGGGCCCTCTTGGGTGCCTCTTGGGCCCTCTTGGGGCGATCTTGGGGGCCTCTTGGGCCGTCTTGGGGCGTCGGGAAGCCGAAAAGGTGGAAGCTCCAAAATCTCTCAAAAACCTATGGAAAAACAATGATTTTTGCCTCCGGGGGCCCTATTGGGAGTGCTCTTGGAGGCCTCTTGGGGCGTCTGGGGGCTATCTTGGGCGTCTTGGAGCGATCTTGTGGCATGTCGGACCCCTCGTGTACCATCTTGGGGGCCTCTTGGGGGCCTCTTGGCCTTTCTTGGGGCTCTCGGGGACGTCTCGGAGCCCTGTTGGTGCGCTCATGGAGCGCTCGGGGGGACCCGGCCGGGACCCGGCCGGGACCCGGCCGGGACCCGGCCGGGGACCGGCCGGGACCTGGTCGGGGTACTTTTCGTCCGGGGACCCCCAGGGGCCGCCCCGCGCGCGCGAACTAGAAAATTGTTAACCAGTTACCGGAGATCTTAGCACGCCTCTGGCCCGTTGGGCCGGCGAATTTTCGGGAGCGAAAGAAGGACGTACACGTACATGACTCCACGCTGGTTTCGAGAGTACGCATTGCCCGAGTGTTCGTATCACGCGGCCCGTCTCGCGGATCGAGGGGCCGCGTTCGTGTACATAGCTGGGCGCGCACGTCCTCTGTGGGCTCCCTATATTTAAATTCTGAGACTTTCAATTTCTTAACCCATGACTTCTAAAGCATTTTCGCAGGCCAGAGCTTGAGAAAACCTAAGTGTTCGGCCAGAGTCTCGATGATTCTTAATGTTTCAGTGTGAATCCTAAGATTTGAATGGACACTCTGGGTTTTTATTTAAATTCTGAGACTTTCAATTTCTTAACCCATGATTTCTAAAGCCTTTCGCAGGGTGTAGAGGCAGGGGCAGCGCCCCGGGGCCGGCCCCGAGGGCCCGCGGGCGCCGCCCCCCGGAGAGCTTCCAAAAGGGCGCGCGCCCCCCGACGGCCCCCGGGGAGGCCCCGGGAGGACCTGCTCGCCGACGGCCGCAGGGCCTGCCCAGCCGTGGGGCTCTCCGCGGGTTCGCACCGGGCTTCCGTCGGGCCTGTCCCTCCACAGGGGGAACAACCTTTTTTTTGTAAGTTTTTTTTTTTTTTTTGTTTGTTTTTCTCTCTCTCTCTCTCTCTCTCTCTTCTTTGTTTGTGCAAAACATGTAAAAAACAAAACAAAACAGTTTGGAACATTTTCTGAGGATTTTTAATTTTTCGTCGAAAATCCCCCTGTAGGGGGACAGGCCCGACTTAGCACTGGTCTCTCCTACATGGCGGGAGGAAGCGCGCGCCAACCTGCGGGGACCCGTGTGGATAAACTCGCCCCTGTACGACCCCCACCACGTGGTCGAATCGCCCGCGAGGGCTCAAGAGCGCCCCAGAGGGGTTGCACGACGGTCCACGAGCGCTCTCAGACGGCTTCAGTTGTTCCCGAGACGGGCCTCGAGGCCCCAAAGACTTCAGAAGGTGGCTCCAAGACGGTCCAAGAGGCCCCAAAGACGCTCCGAGAGGGCCCCAAGAGGACACCAAAGAGGCACAAATCGTCACATTCCTATGGGAAACGTGCATTTTCAGCATGTCCGCCTTTTGCGTTGCTACGCGGTCCAGGACAGACCAAGAGGTCCCCCTAAACCCCCCACAAGCGGCCCCCAGGAGGGCCCCACGACGGTCCAAGAGGGCCCAAAGACAGCCCAAGGGGGCCCTCAAACGGCCTGAGAGGGCCCTAAGACGGCTCCAAGAGGGCCCGAAGAGGCTCCCAGGAGGGCCCCGGGAAGCCCTCCAGAGAGCCCCACGACGGTCCAAGGTCTCCAAGGCGCCCCAACGACCTCAGAAGGTGGCTCCAAGACGGTCCAATAGGCCCCAAAGACGCTCCGAGAGGGCCCTAAGAGGACGCCAAAGAGGCAAAAATCGTCACACTCCTACGGGAAAACGTGCATTTCCAGCATCTCCGCTTTTTGCGTTGTTACACGGTCCAGGACAGGCCAAGAGGCCCACCCAAATCCTCCAAGACGACCCTAGCGATACCCAAGAGGGCCCCAAGACAGCCCAAAGACGGCCCAAGGGGGCCCTCAAATGGCCTGAGAGGGCCCCAAGACGGCTCCAAGAGGGCTCCAAGAGGGCCCGAAGAGGCTCCCAAGAGGGCCTCAGGAAGCCCTCCAGAGAGCCCCAAGACGGTCCAAGGCCTCCAAGACGCCCCGTGACGGCCCAAACGGGCCCTAAGACGTCCCCAAATGGCCCTAGAACGGCCGAGAAGGGCCCCTGAGGCCTGAAGCAGTCTTTACGTTTCCGTACCGGCGCGGGTCTCCCCGCTTGCCATGGACCCTTCGCCCATTCACGGCTCCAAGAGGAACACAGGGCCCTTCCATGGCTGCAATAGCGCTCCAGACCGACCCAGGACGGCCGAGCAGGCCCCCAAGACAGCCCATGAGGAGCCCAAGAGGGCTCCGAGAACGGACCAAGACGGCCCAAGACGGCCCCAAAGCAGCCCGAGAGTCGCCCAACGTCGTCAGCCTTACGTCTGGGAGACGAAGGTCTTGCGATAGGGGGGCGCGGCCAGGGCGTACCTTTCTTCCAGTGTTTTTATTTTCCGGCCGTAAGACTTACGGCTGGAAAAGATCTCCCGTCTTCGAAAGTTTATGGGGCGTACCTTCTTCCAACAGTTTTCTCTGGCTGTAAGACTTCTTACGGCCGGAAAAAAGTCCCGTCTGGGATGGCCTTAGGGGTCATCTTCCAGACACATGCGATCGTGGTCCGTGCATGCTCGGTCGCCTTGGAGACACTTATGCCATCTGTTTTTTTCAATCTTAGCACCAGTCCGCGGCATCTCCTGTGGGATGTCCCGCCACCGCCTGAACCAGGTTCTTTGTCTCCCAGCCGTAAGGCCGACAACGACGACGAGCAGGTTGCAGCAAGGACCTCGAGCATGACACCGAACCTCACCCTCCCCTGCGACTCAGCTTCCGTGGCCGCCGGAGGGCTCCCGAGAGGATCTCGCCGCTTGCCATGGACGCAGTCCATTGGCCAGGCCTCGACCCCTGGACGGCGCCAACCCGCTCCACGCCCGCTCATGGAGGGGGAGGAGGAGGCGGAGGAGGAGGCGGAGGAGGCGGAGGAGGAGGAGGAGGCGGAGAAGCAATGGGAGGAGGAGAGGGAGGAGGAGGAGGAGGAGGAGGAGGAGGAGGAGGAGGAGGAGGAGGAGGAGGAGGAGGAGGAGAGGGAGGAGGAGGAGGAGGAGGAGGAGGAGGCGGAGGAGGAGGTGGAGGCGGGCGGAGGCGGAGGCGGAGGCGGAGGCGAGGCGGAGGAGGAGGAGGGAGGAGGAGGAGGAGGAGGAGGAGGAGGAGGAGAGGAGGAGGAGGGAGGAGGAGGAGGAGGAGGAGGAGGAGGAGGAGGAGGAGGAGGAGGAGGAGACGACGGTCCAAGAGGCCCTGCGAGACGGTCCACGAACGCTCGAAGACGCTCAAGGTAGCCTCCATACGGCCCAGGAGGCCGCCCAAAGCGCTCCAAGTAGGCTCCCCGAAAACGCCCGAGAGAGCCCGCGCAAACCGAAATCGTCACGAAACCTGGGGAAAACGTAAGTTCTCGCAACTCCTCTGCTTTTCGTTTTTTCCAGCGTCCACGACGACAATACGGCTCCCAAGATCGGCCGAAGACGTCTCAGGAGGCCCCCACGAGGCTCCGAAGACGGCCCCCGTCGGCCCCAGGACGCTCCTGTGGCGCCCATTACAGCCCAAGAAGCAATCAAGACAACCCCAAAAGCGGCCACATGTGGCCCAAGAGGGCCTCCAGACTGTCCTAAGACGGCCCCACGGGCGCCCAAGACGGCCCCATACGGCCCCGAGATGCACCCATGAGGGCCCCCAAACGTCCAAGTAGGCCCCCAAAAGACGCCCGAGACAGCCCGCGCAAACCAACATCGTCACAAAGCCTGGAGAAAACGTAAATTCTCGCAACTCCTCTGCTTTTCGTTTTCCAAGCATCCACGACGACAATACGGGCCCCAAAGATCGGCCCAAGACGTCTCAGGAGGCCCCTATGAGGCGCCCAAGACGGACCCCGACGGCCCCAGCACAGCGCCCGTGGCGCCCATTACAGCCCGAAAAGTAATCAAAACAGCCCCGAGAGAAGCCAACAGATGGCCCAAGAGGGTCTCCTCACTGTCCCAAGACGGCCCCACAGGCGCCCAAGACGGCCCCATACGGCCCCAAGATGTACCCATGAGGCTCCCAAAACGCTCCAAGAGCCCGCACAAGCAAACATCCTCCCAAAGCCGATGGTAAACGTACAACCTAAGGTAACCGTGCAGCCGAAAAAGCAACAATCAAGGCAGCCCCAAGAGCGGCCAAAGATGACGCAAGAGGGCCTCCAAACCGGCCCAAGACGGCCCCACAGGCGTACAAGACAGCCCCAGACGGCTTCAAGAGGCACCCAAGACGGCCCAAGAGGGCCACAAGAGGACCTCAGGAGGCCGCCAGACAGCCCAAGAGGGCTCCAAGAGGCCCCCAGGAGGTCGAAGAGAAGCCCCGAGAGCCCCCCAAGCACTTCCCAAGGAAAACGCAGCGCCCGCCATCAGGCTTCGACAAGGCAACCGGACATACGTCACCAGAGGCCCCTGGGGGGCTTCCCCACGGAGGCTCGATGGCCCCAGACGGTCCCAAGACGGCTCAGAGAGAGAGCGCCCCGACGGCCCGAGCGGACGGCCCAAGAGGCACCCAAGACGGCCCCATGACGCGGCCCAAGACGGCCCACGACGGCCCAAGAGGCGCCTGCGCCGGCCTCCGAAGGCCCAAACACGGCCCAGAGACACCCAAGACGCCCGAACAGAACCCCCCGTAGCCCCCAAACGCCCACAAGACGCCGCTGGATCCATTCCCGCGGACCGTTCTCTCCTCTCGAATTGCTTTGCTCACGGTGTCCCGCCCATGGGCTGGACATTTCCAAACATGTTCTCGGGCCTCCCAGATGAGGTCAGGGTGGATGGGGTCGGAGGATTGAGCCGCATCGCCGATGCATCGTCGATGCGGCTCGATTCGGAACCCGAGTTTCTCACGCAGGCGTCGGCGAGGCACCGCCGACGTCGCCGCTGCATCGCCGACATAGCGCGCTCATCCGGCCCCATTCACTCGGACCCCATGTGGGAGGCCTCTCACCTTCCGCCTCGATTATCTCAGGACGCGAAGGGGCGTCTCCTGCCCGCCCGCCATTGCGGGGCGATGCGGGAGGCGAACGCAAATCACTTGCCACTTCGTGGCAGCTTGACGTGGACGGAGTCCACGGGTCAGCCCTAGTCTCTCCTACATGGCCAGTGGAAGCGCGTGCGAGAAGCCCAGGGCTTCAAGTGCACAAAATCGCCCCTTTACGGCGCCACCACGGGGCCGAATCGCTCAGGCCGGTCCCAGAGGCGCTCCAGAGGTGTTCCCAGACCGTCCAAGAGCGTTCCAAGACGGCCTCAGTGGGTCCCGAAGCGGCCCACGAGGGCCCGAAGCCTTCCGGGGGGGGCTCCACGACGATCCAAGAGGCCGCAAAGACGCCCCAAGAGGGCCCCAAGCGCACGCCAAAGAGGCACAAATCGTCAAATTCCTATAGGAAGACGTAAATTTTCAGCATGCCCGCCTTGTGTGATCCTCAGCGGCCCAGGACACGCCAAGAGGCCTCCCACATCGCCCCAAGAGGACGCCAGCGGCCCCTCAGGGGGCTCCAAAGCGGTCCACAAGAGCTCCAAGACGACGCCAGAGAGCCTTGAAACGGCTTCACAGAACCCCAGGACGGCCCCAAGAGAGCTCCGAGGGGGCCCCAAGAGGCTCCCAAGACGGCGGCCTCAGGCAGCCTCAAGATAGCTCCAAGACGATCCAAGGCCTCCCGGACGCCCCGTGACGGCCCAAGATTACCCCAAGACGTCCCAAAACGCTCCCAGAGCAGCCCCAAGAAACTTCAGAATGGCCCGAAAAAGACCCCCACAAGGACCACCAAGCAGGCCCAGAGATGCCCACTAAAAGAGCGATCGGTGAAGTACAAAGCTCTTCTCACCAAGGCTCCCAAGAGCGAGCCGCAGCGTAGAGAGCTCTCCCAGGCACAGCTCCCAAGAGCCAGCGGTGACGTGACCAGCCCTTCAGACAGGGGCTCTCAAAAGCGAAGGGCTCCATGAGCCATCTCGGGCCTGCTCGGAGGGCACCAACTATACACCAACACCGATCCTGGCCCAGGATCACCCTGGGCCCAGGATCGGTGTATATGCCTTCTTGCGCAAGGCAGGGGGGCGTATACACCGATCCTGGGCCCAGGGTGATCCTGGCCAGGATCGGTGTTGGTGTATAGTTGGTGCCTTCCTACCTGCGAGCGTGCGCCCGCCGTCACGCTTCACCCAGGCAACTGGGAAGAACTCACTACAGCTTTCCGGGCGTACCCCGCCCACGGATCCTCGCCGCATTCAGAGCGCTGCCCTTCTCCGTGGGTGCGGGTGCGAGTGCGCGAAGGTATGCGCGTCTGGCACGGAGCCGCGCCGTGGAGGCGCACCAGGGGGACCTGAAGGTCGTGGGCGAAGTCCACTTGTTCGCCCCAGTCAGCTACAACGCTGGAATCAGCGCGTGCGAGAAGGGCAAGCAGTGGGAGCGGGCCCTGGCGCTGCTCCGCGAGATGGGGGCGGCGAAGCTGGAGCGCGACGTCAGCTGCACGACGCTCCCGGGCGCTGCGCGTGCGCAGAGGGCAAACGGCGCCCGACGCCGCCTGGAGCGGCCCGGAGCGCCCAGAGTGCCCTCCGGGGCCCCTGCCCCCCCCCAAAAAGGACCGACAAAACGAAAAAACGAACCGAAAAAACGAAAAAACGAAAAAACGGTCCCACGAGCCGAAACAACGACCGAAAAAGCGAAAAAACGGCCCCACGAGCCGAAAAAACGAGCCCAAACCCCCGACGGTTCTGCAGCGATCTCTTCCGCGCTCTGCCCTGGACGGGCCCAGCACGGCTCCACGCGGCTCCAGGTCCTTCGGAGATGGCACCCACACGACGCAAGGGGCTCCCACGAGCCCACCAAGACGGCCCCCAGGGGGCCACTGGACGGCCCGGAACGGCCTCATAGAGCCTCAGGCGGCCCCCCCAAGACGGACCCAGGCGCAGCGCAGGTGACCCACGCCGGGCTCCCAGGCGGCCCCAGGCCCCCACCATGACGGGATGGCCCAGGCGGCCGCCAGGACGGCCCACGGGGGCACAGGAGGACCATACCCCAGAAGAGCAAAAGCCAGGCGTTCCCCAGAGCTTTCCACTTGCTCTCCATGGCGGGCTCATAACGGCCGCACACGGCTCCAGGTCCTTCCAAGATCGCACCACGATGACCCAAGAGGCCCTCACGAGCCAACTAAGACGGCCAACGAGGGCCCCAGGACGGTCCAGAACAGGCCCCGGAGAGCGTAGCACAGCTTCAAACTGCCCCCCAAGACGCCCCAGGAGCTGCCCAGGAGGGCTCAGACAAGACTCCCAGACAGCCCCAGACCCCCACCCTGGCCCGAACATGGCCCAAGAGGCCCCCGGGATGGCCCAAGAGGGCCCACGGACTCCGCAAAAACCTTGTGTTTTCGAACGCTTCCCAGGGCTCAGAACGGCTCCAGGCATTTTCGCGACCGCCCTGCGATGGCCCAAGTGGCCCCGACGTGCGCACCAGGACGGCCCAAGAGGGCCCCAAGCAGCAGACAGCCTCCAGCCCCAGCCCCGCCTGCAGCAAACCCAGGAGCCTGTCGTTCCCGAGCGCGCACGCGCCGCTGCGATCGGCGACAAATGCGCGTTCGGCACCGACACCTTGTTCTGCCAGCCGTGGATTTTCCGCACGGGCTCGCACTAGTCTCTCTTCTCTATGGCGGACATCAGCGCGTGCCAGAAGGGCAAAACAGCGCATGCGGATAAATGCGCCCCCTGGAGGGCCATTTTTCGATACCACTCACGAAGATCCTGGCCCCCGAGCGTCACAAATCGAGCCCTCCGCCCAAAGACGCGCCGAAGTGGCCATAAGAGGCTCCAATGAGCGTCCAAGAGGCAACCTAGAGGCCCCCAACAAGGCCCAAGAGGCCTCCAAGAGCCTCCAACAGTCCTCCGAAGTATGCTCCCAGAGGTCAAAATCCTTAATTTGCCAATGGTTTTTGAAGGAGTTTTGCCTTCTCGCCTTCTCGGCTAGCCGACGCTTCAAGACGGTCGAAGAGACCCACAAGGCCGCCCCAGGACGGCCCAACAGGCCTCCAAGCGCGTCCCCAGACGGCCCAGGGAGCTCCAAGGTGGCCCAAGAGGCGCCCAAGACGGCCCCAGAGGACCCCAAGCCAGGCCCAAGAGGGGGCCAAAAATGCGGAAAAACCCTGACACTCCGAGCCCTGGGCCCCCATACGCCCGCGCAAGGCCCCAAGACCCCCCCAAGGGAACGCCCCAAGAGGACCCCAAGCGAGCCCCAGGATGGCCCAGAGGCCTCCAAGGCAGGCCAGGAGGCTCCCGAGACTGTCCAGGGGGTGCCCCAGGAGATCTTTAATAGGTAAAAATCGTCCCATCCCTTTGGGAAGCGTATAATTAGCACATGTTCGTGATTTTCGTCTGCACAGTCTCCGAGACGGCTGTACAGGCCCCCGAGATCGCCCCAAGACGCCCCCAGGAGGGCCCCAAATCAGCTCGAGATGGCCCCGGAACAGTTCCAGAGGCGCCCGAGATGGCCCAAGAGGCACCCAAGACAGCCCCAAGAGCGGCCAATGACGGCTCAGACGCCCCAAGACGGCCCCAAGATGGCCCGAGAGGCGCCCAAGACGGCCTCAAATCGCCCCAAGATGGCCCAAGAGGCATTCAAGACGGCCCAAGATGTCCCCGACAGACCCCCAGGAGGACGAACAGAGGCCCCCACACGGCGCCCCCAAGAGGCCTTGGATGCTTGTCTCTTGGTGAGCGTCGACGACTGACGATCGAAGATCGACGGGATGAAGGATCGAGGGGAGGAGAAGGAGGAGGGGAAGGCCCCAAATTGCATCGGGCGCCTGCGGCGCCAGTGCGGACCGTCTCGGCGCCCGCTTGCGGGCCTCTTAGGCCGTCTAAGCTCCAGACGAACGAACAGGAACACGCCCGTGCTCACCGGCCCCATTCTCACCACTCTACCAGATAAAAGTATCATTCGGCCCCGGCGAAGAGCAGGTAAAATCATCACGCCGACCCGCCCCGCAGAAGCTATGATGAACAGAGAGCGCGGCGTGAGAAACAGCTTCTGTCCACACCATGTCGTGCCTACATGGGTGTGCTTCCATTGACACCGCCTCCACCACCGCGTTCCTGCCTTCCGGACTGCTTACCTGCATCCCTCGCCCACCTCCCCCTCCAGCGGCCACCTCCTCCATCCACACCGCCCCCTCCAACCTCCTCCCCGCGAGGCCCTGGAGACGCTCCACTTCCACGTCCACACCATGGCGTGCAGATTCCGCGGCCAGAAGGCCGCGGGTCAGCCCTAGTCTCTCCTACATGGCCAGTGGAAGCGCGTGCGAGAATGGTTCACGCCTCGTGTGCACAAAATCGCCCCTTTACGGCGCCACCACGGGGCCGAATCGCTCAGGCTGGTCCCAGAGGCGCTCCAGAGGGGTCCCAGACCGTCCAAGTGCGCTCCAAGACGGCCTCAGTTGGTCCCGAGACGGCCCACGAGGGCCCGAAGCCTTCCGGGGGGGGGTGCTCCACGACGATCCAAGAGGCCGCAAATACGCCCCAAGAGGGCCCCGAGCGCACGCCAAAGAGGCACAAATCGTCAAATTCCTATGGGAAAGCGTATATTTTCAGCATGCCCGCCTTGTGTGCTCTTCAGCGGCCCAGGACACGCCAAGAGGCCTCCCAAATCGCCCCAAGAAGACGCCAGCGGCCCCTAAGAGGGCTCCAAGACGGCCCACAAGAGTCCCAAGACGACGCCAGAGAGCCTTGAAACGGCCTCACAGAACCCCAAGACGGCCCCAAGAGAGCTCCGAGGGGGCCCCAAGAGGCTCCCAAGACGGCCTCAGGCAGCCTCAAGAGAGCTTCAAGACGGTCCAAGTCCTCCCGGACGCCCCGTGACGGCCCAAAAAGGCTCCAAAACGTCCAAAACGCTCCCAGAGCAGCCCCAAAAAGCTTCAGAATGGCCCGAAAAAGACCCCCCCACAAGGACCACCGAGCAGGCCCAGAGATGCCCATTAAAAGAGCGATCGGTGAAGTACAAAGCTCTTCCCACCAAGGCTCCCAAGAGCGAGACGCAGCGTAGAGAGCTCTCCCAGGCACAGCTCCCAAGAGCGAGTGGTGACGTCGGGACACCCTTCCAACCTCTCACACAGGAGCACTCACGCACAGCACGCAAGCACTAGATTTCCTGGGCTGTCTGCCGGAAGAGGCTCGGGGGGAGAGCCCGGGAACGGCCCCAGAGGCGCCCAACAAAAACTTCAAGAGAAAAGGCCCCAGGAGGCCACAAGACGGCTTAAGAGGGCCCCAAGAGGCCCCTAGGAGGCCGCAAGACAGCCAGCGAGGCCCCAACAGGCCCCCCAGGAGCTCGAAAAGAAACCCCGAGAGGCCCACTAACCGTTCCCAAGGAGACGGCAGCGCCCGCCATCAGGCTTCGAAGAGGCAACCAGAAAAAAGTCACCAGAGCCCTCCGGGTGACTTTTTTCAAGGCTCCAGGTGATTTCAAAATTGACGGCGAGACGTACACCGCAGACCCTCCATAGCCGTCTGTGACGCTCCGAAGGCTGTCTAGGCGGAGGTAGAGCGGAAGGCGGACGAAGAGAAGGAAGCGGTCCAAGAGGGCCTCCGAGATGGCCCAAGACCGCTCGAAGACGCTCCAGACGAGCTGCGGCAAATTCTTCTATGGTTTCTGAAATTTCTACCTTCTCGCCATTTCGAGCGAAGACAGGCCCAAGACGGCCTTTTCGAGCCAAGACTGGCCCAAGATGACGTGGACGAAGTCCACGGGTTCGCCCTAGTCTTCTCTACAATGCAGGGACCCGTGCGTGCGGGAAGGGTCCCTGTCTTGATCGCCTGAAAATGCCCCACAACGGCTCCGGGGACGCCCCAGAGGCGCTCACGCGGCCCAAGAGGCCCCCCAGAGGCACGAAAACCGGCCCGAGAGGGCGTCAAGAGACCCAAGAGGCGCCCAGCACGGCCCCCAGGCGGCCCCAAGAGGCTCCCAGGAGGCGCCCAGGACGGCCCCACCCCCCCCCAAGACGGCCCAAGAGCGCTCCAAGAGAGCCCAAGACCGCCGAAAACAAACCCAAGACGGCCCAGGAGGCCTCCACGACGGCCCCAGAGACGCCCAAGAGGCGTCCAAGGCTGGCCCCCAGAGGCGAAAATCATTGTTTTCCCTAAGGAAAACGCTCACTTTTAGCATGCGCTGCTTGTCGGGAATATGCCGCAGAAGCTGGTTCCAGGTCCCCACGACCGCCCCAAGACGGCCCAAGAGGCTCCCAAGACGCACGAAAACCGTCCTGAGAGGGCGTCAAGAGAGCCCAAGACGCGCCCAAAACGGCCCCAGGGCGACACCAAGAGGCTCCCAGGACGGCCCAAGGTATCCCCAAGACGCTCCAAGAGCGCTCCACGACCAGCCAAGACTGCTTTTTGCGGCGCCAAGACGGCCCCAGAGACGCCGAAGAGGCTTCCCAGGAGGGCCCCAGGAGGCCACAATTTTCGCTTTCCCGACGGAAGCCGTACACATGTCAGCATCTCCGGCTTTCCGGGTTTCATGGCGTAGACGACGGCCCAAGAGGCCCCCAACACCGCCCCAAGACGGCCCAGGAGGCTCCCACAGGGGATCCACACCGGCCCGACGGAGCGTCAAGACATGTAGCCGACGAGCCGCCCAAGACGGCCTGGCAGGGCCGCAATACGGCCCCCAGAGCTTCCCAACACGGCCCAATGTTCCCCCAAGACGGCCCCAGAGCGCTCCAAGAGGTGTCGAAGATAGCGGGGCGAGGCACCAGTGTGCCATTTCAGGGGCCTCCCTGAGCTCCTGCTCCTCCTCCTCCTCCTCCTCCTCCTCATCCCCCACCTCCTCCCTCCTCCTCCTCCTCCTCCACGTCCTCCTCCTCATCCTGCTGCTGCCCCTCCTCCTCCTCCTCCTCCTCCTCCTCCTCCTCCTCCTCCTCCTCCTCCTCCTCCTCCTCCTCCTCCTCCTCCTCCTCCTCCTCCCCCTCCTTCCCTCCTCCTCCTCCTCCTCCTCCTCCTCCTTCCCTCCTCCTCCTCCCTCCCCCCCCCCCCCCCGCTCCTCCTCCTCCTCCTCCTCCTCCTCCTCCTCCTCCTCCTCCACCTCTGACACCGTCTGCGCCACCGCGTTCCTGCCTCCAGGCCTGCTTGCTTGCATCCCTCGCCCGCCTCCACCTCCAGCGGCCACCTCCTCCATCTACGCCGTCCCTTTCCAACCACTCCGTACCCGCGAGGCCCCAGAGACGCTCCACTTCCACGTCCACGCCATGGCGGGCAGATTCCGCGGCCGGAAGGCCGCGGGTCAGCCCTAGTCAGCTACAGTGCTGGGATCAGCGCGTGCGAGAAGGGCGAGCAGTGGCAGGGGGCCCTGGCGTTGCTCAGCGACATGGGGGCGGCGAAAAAGGAGCCCAACGTCATCTCTTCTACAATGCAGAGGCCTTTGCGTGCGAGAAGGTCCTCTGTCTTGAAAGGCCGCTGGGCCCTGCCCTGCGAGTCACCAGGGCGCTCCGAAACGGCTCTGGGGGGTCCCAAGATGCCCCAAGACGGCCCCAAGACGGCTGAGGGACGCTCAAGAGGGCGCCCGGACGCCCCAAGAGGACCCCAAGCGAGCCCCAGGATGGCCCCAGAGGTTTCCAAGGCAGGCCAGGAGGCTCCCGAGTCGGTCCAGGAGGACCCCCAGGAGAGCTCCAAGAGGCAAAAATCGCCTCATTCCCTTTTTTTTTTTTTTTTTTTTTTTTTTTTTTTTTTTTTTTTTTTTTTTTTTTTTTTTTTTTTTTTTTTTTTGTTGTTGTTGTTGTTGTTGTTGTTGTTGTTGTTGTTGTTGTTGTTGTTGTTGTTGTTGTTGTTGTTGTTGTTGTTGTTGTTGTTGTTGTTGTTGAACATTATTACTTCTAAAGAATAATTATTGTTGGGACCCCTGGTACACGACCCCCCTCCAAAACCTAGGCCGCAGCTACATTTTCATCATTTTTTCGCGAAAGCTTCAGAAAAGTGGATTAGTACCGGATCCGGTTGTTTTGTTCCCCCCCGTTTTCCCTTGCAAAAAACACTATAAAATGAAATTTCTTGTTCAAATGTAATCCAATTTCAAGAATCCCTTGCAAAAAATAAGCTAAAGTGGACATTCGCGCGTGCAAGACGAAATCCTTCCAAAACCTTAGGTTTCGGAACGATTTCAACATAAAAACATCAAAAACCCAATGGTTTTTTAAATAAAAAATTGTCAAAATCTCATCCCGCGCGCTCTTGCGGATTCGTAGGAAACCAACACTTTTTAAACATTTTGTCAAACGGGCTTTTGCGAGCAACTTTTTCGAACTTCTGCGACAACGGTTGCGCACCTGCCAGGGCCATCATCCCTGTCAAATAATACCATGCGGGACACATTCGTTTTTTCTTCGCGCGCGCACGCCGAAATCTCCAAAAACCATTGGGCTTCTTAAGATGTTCTGTGGAAGGCTTAACAACTTCTGTGGGTTAACGAGGCTTAACAACTTCTGTGGGTGTACGAACGTAGGCTTAACAACTTCTGTGGGTGTGTACTCCACGCCAGTGTAGTAGCCACGGTCGTCCGCAGGCCACGAAGTGAAGTGTCCGAACGTCATAGGGCGGGAAGCTGGGTGTGGGTGGTGGCGAAGAGTCGTGTGGATATTTGGTAGAGCTTGCACTGCCCCCCCACAAAGTGGGGGTATTGGCTGGCGTCGCATGAAAACCCTGGCACTGGTGAGAACACTGAGCGTTCGGGTAAAGTGATTGTTGTTGTTGTTGTTGTTGTTGTGTTGGAATAATTATTGTTGGGCCCCCTGGTGCACGCCCCCCCTGCGCCGCCTAGGCCGCAGCTACATTTTCATCATTTTCGTGAGGAAGCCTCAGGTAAAACGATGTGATCCAGATCCGGTTGTTTTGTTGTAATCCGTTTTCCCTTGCAAAAAACACTATAAAATGACATTTCTTGTTCTAATATAATCAAATTTCAAGAATCCCTTGCAAAAAATAAGGTAAAGTGGACATTCGCGCGCGCAAGACGAAATCCTTCCAAAAGCTTAGTGTTCGGAGCGATTTTAACATAAAAACATCAAAAAACCAATGGTTTTTCAACAAAAAATGTCAAAATCTCATCCCGCGCGCTCTTGCGGATTCGTAGGAAACCCAACACTTTTTAAACATTTCTGTCAAACGGGCTTTTGCGAGCAACTTTTTCGAACTTCTGCGACAACGGTTGCGCACCTGCCAGGGCCATCATCCCTGTCAAATAATACCATGCGGGACACATTCGTTTTTTCTTCGCGCGCGCACGCCGAAATCTCCAAAAACCATTGGGTTCTTAAGAATTTTAGCACCGCGCATCATAGAATCACACGCATCATAAGAATCCACGTGATACCAGTCAAAATAAGGGTCTTGGCTTGTGTGGTACAGAAACGTTAAAACGTCGGAAAACGGTACACGTGCCCATTGTTGGAACAGGGGTATAAGTCGTATACTAAGCTAGTTTCCACAAGATGTTACCACAAGAAGTCATTGTAACCATGCGCCAGTGTAGTAGCCAAGGTCGTCCGCAGGCCACGAAGTGAAGTGTCCGAACGTCATAGGGCGGGAAGCTGGGTGTGGGTGGTGGCGAAGAGTCGTTTGGAAATTTGGTAGAGCTTGAACCGGCCCCCCCACAAAGTGGGGGTATTGCCCGCCTCCTATGAAAACCCTGGCACTGGTGAGAACGGAGTGTCCCCACGTGCTAGTAATTGTTGTTGTTGTTGTTGTTGTTGTTGTTGTTGTTGTTGTTGTTGTTGTTGAATATTATTACTTCTAAAGAAATATTATTGTTGAGACCCCTGGTGCGCGACCCCCCTCCAAAACCTAGGCCGCAGCCTCATTTCCTTCATTTTCTAGCGAAAGCTTCAGAAAAGTGGATTGTGTCCGGATCCGGTTGTTTTGTTGTAATCCGTTTTCCCTTGCAAAAAACACTATAAAATGAAAATTCTTGTTCTTACTTGATCAAATTGCAAGAATCCCTTGCAAAAAATAAGGTAAAGTGGACATTCGTGCGCGCAAGACGAAATCCTTCCAAAACCTTAGGTTTCGTAACGATTTTAACATAAAAACATCAAAAACCCAATGGTTTTTTAAGAAAAAATTGTCAAAATGTCCTTCCGCGCGCGCTGTCCGAATCCCACAAAACCAATGGTTTTTCAACATTTATGTTACATGAGCTCGCGCGAGCTACTTTTTCTTGTTCTAACATAATCAAATTTCAATAATCCCTTGCAAAAAATAAGGTAAAGTGGACATTCGCGCGCGCAAGACGAAATCCTTCCAGAACCTTAGGTTTCGTAGCGATTTCAACATAAAAACATCAAAAACCCAATGGTTTTTCAAAACAAAATGTCCAAATTTCATCCCGCGCGCGCTGTCCGACTCCCACAAAACCAATGGTTTTTCAACATTTATGTTACATGAGCTCGCGCGAGCTACTTTTTCTTGTTCTAACATAATCAAATTTCAATACTCCCTTGCAAAAAAAAGTAAAGTGGACATTCGCGCGCGCAAGACCAACAAAAAACACGACGATCTTAGGAACTTGCCCCAAAAATGTGACCAACTCCGCTCTCTCTGTCTCTCTCTCTGTCTGCTCTCTGTCTCTCTCTCTGTCTGTCTGTGTCATGTATTGTATGTCACAATTGCAGGATGCTGGGCACACGCGCGCCCCGAATAAGTGACCAAGTTCTGTGGGTGTGTACCCCACGCCAGTGTAGTAGCCACGGTCGTCCGCACGCCACGAAGTGAAGTGTCCCAACGTCATAGGGCGGGAAGCTGGGTTTGGGTGGTCGCGAAGAGTCGTTTGGATATTTGGTAGAGCTTGTAATGCCCCCCCACGAAGTGGGGGTATTGTCTGGTGTCGTATGAAAACCCTGGCACTGGGGAGAACACCAGCGTTCGGGTTAAAATGAATTGTTGTTGTTGTTGTTGTTGTTGTTGCACGCCCCCCCTGCGCCGCCTAGGCCGCAGCTACATTTTCATCATTTTCGTGAGGAAGCCTCAGGTAAAACGATGTGATCCTGATCCGGTTGTTTTGTTGTAATCCGTTTTCCCTTGCAAAAAACACTATAAAATGACATTTCTTGTTCTAATATAATCAAATTTCAAGAATCCCTTGCAAAAAATAAAGGTAAAGTGGACATTCGCGCGCGCAAGACGAAATCCTTCCAAAAGCTTAGTGTTCGCAGCGATTTTAACATAAAAACCTCAAAAAACCAATGGTTTTTCAACAAAAAATTGTCAAACTTTCATCCCGCGCGCTCTTGCGGATTCGTAGGAAACCCAACACTTTTTAAACATTTCTGTCAAACGGGCTTTTGCGAGCACCTTTTTCGAACTTCTGCAACAACGGTTGCGCACCTGCCAGGGCCATCATCCCTGTCCTGCCAGGGCCATCATCCCTGTCCTTTCAATGTGTTCATGTGTATCATGTGTATCATGTACCATATGCCTCATATGCAACAGATGTTCTGTGGAAGGCTTCACAACTTCTGTGGGTTAACAAGGCTTAACAACTTCTGTGGGTGTACGAACGTAGGCTTAACAACTTCTGTGGGTGTGTACTCCACGCCAGTGTAGTAGCCACGGTCGTCCGCAGGCCACGAAGTGAAGTGTCCGACCGTCATAGGGCGGGAAGCTGGGTGTGGGTGGTGGCGAAGAGTCGTGTGGATATTTGGTAGAGCTTTCACTGCCCCCCCACAAAGTGGGGGTATTGGCTGGCGTCGCATGAAAACCCTGGCACTGGTGAGAACACTGAGCGTTCGGGTAAAGTGATTGTTGAACATTATTAAATCTAAAGAATAATTATTGTTGGGCCCCCTGGTGCGCGCCCCCCCTGCGCCGCCTAGGCCGCAGCTGCATTTTCATCATTTTCGTGAGGAAGCCTCAGAAAAGAGGGTGTGTACATGATCCGGTTGTTTTGTTGTAATCCGCTTTCCCTTGCAAAAAACAATAGAAAATGACATTTCTTGTTCTAATATAATCAAATTTCAAGAATCCCTTGCAGAAAATAAGGTAAAGTGGACATTCGCGCGCGCAAGACGAAATCCTTCCAAAACCTTAGTGTTCGCAGCGATTTTTCACATAAAAACATCAAAAAACCAATGGTTTTTCAACAAAAAATTGTCAAAATCTCATCCCGCGCGCTCTTGCGGATTCGTAGGAAACCCAACACTTTTTAAACATTTCTGTCAAACGGGCTTTTGCGAGCAACTTTTTCGAACTTCTGCGACAACGGTTGCGCACCTGCCAGGGCCATCATCCCTGTCAAATAATACCATGCGGGACACATTCGTTTTTTCTTCGCGCGCGCACGCCGAAATCTCCAAAAACCATTGGGTTCTTAAGAATTTTAGCACCGCGCATCATAAAATCACACGA